ATGCTGAATTTGTTTGAGAAAATAAGAGTGTTCGCTATGCAAAAAACTTGTACTAGTTGGTACCAATTTTTGCCAAATCGTGTTCGTTTAGCCGAAAAACCTGGTAAAACTTGCAAGGAGAGAGCACAATTTTGACATTTCATTTGGGGGGAGGGGACGTTGAAAATTCGTACTGGGAAAATCTTTGCCAGCAAGAATTTGCAAGCAGGATTGTGGCGCACGGTTGCATTTTGGTCAACAATAATTTGAATCAACACGTTCGTTAAATTTAAAAATGAACAATCTTGTTGCGTTTTACTAATGAAAGAAGTATGTAAATATTTGTTTATTCAATTAATTTAATTAAATCGAAACATTTGAAAAGTACTCGGCTGAAAAAGCTGCATTCGTAAACGGAACGAATCGACACCACTGTCGATATAGGAAATCCGACAGTGATTTCCACAAAGAAATCGAAGCGTATGTTGAAGAAAGTCAGAATAAGAAGAAATATACATATGTATGTATAGGTCCTGTTTTGTTTTCCACCTGAAATAATTAAAAAAATTAATTATATTCGAAATACAATCTTGGACGCCAGCTGGAAGTGCAGCTTGCAAATGTTTGCTAATTCCTGTTCACGCAAAACTTAGTAAGGTTCTCTCTTTGGGAGAGTAAGGTACCTTATTCTCTGAATTTTGTTACTTGCTAATTCTTACTGGCTTTAGCATAGCGAACAGAATAGAAAGCGTTCCTCACGCGAGCAAAATGGGCAATAGAGAGCGAGTACCTTATAGAGAGCGAAAAAATTATATCTGGGACCTTATATGTTCCTACCACATCAGCTGATTCTTATGTTAAATAAAAATCTAAGTTCGTCTCAAACAACGGTTTGTGAAGGGAAAAATGCATACCAAATTTGTATTACACTCAATTTTTATTCTGATCAGTATTATGGACCGAAGTTTGAGTGGGACCGTTCAGTCATATACAGTATCGGTCATATCTATAGCACGCCATTTCAAAGTGATATTGTGTGCCACTTATGTTTATTTAGAAAAAGACCCGCTAGGTGGCACTAGAGTCAACATATTTAAAAAATCTGTATTTGTTGTACAATATGGTTGGAATTCATAATTCGAGTCTATTTCAATAGATGCTGCAGTCGAAATATTTAGAAACCCCGTATGTCTGATCTGCTTGGACCCTATTGGTCATTCAGATATTCTAGGCACATATTTATGTCCTTTGACGCTTGGATAACAAGACAAATTCTAAAAGTTGCGAATTAGCAAAGAAATATTCCACCACGTCCCAAGTAACAACACGGTAGAAATATCAACGGTTTCCATTTATCGATATTCAAGGGAAATATTTTCATCCCGTGCAACAGCGAGGATTCTTGGCCCTCCTATAACAGAAAACGTACATCTGTGCTCTTCAGTTTCCTTATAGAGACTTTTATTGGCTTAAATGACGTAAGTCAGACTAGAGGTGTACTCATGACATCGAAAAAGAATAGTACTATTTTTGGCCTGTGTGTGAGGGGTCCGGCTCTTTAGTTGTTTCAACCTAAACGAAGACTTTTACTTTACAAACATTTTTGCTTTTCAACGATATTTGTGCATTGGCCAGCGCGAAAGTTCTTATCAGGCGCCGCAAAGCAAGCGGCATTGGCGAGTGCATACATACATATCGTCACCTTAATTCACAAAGGCCCTAACCAAAAAAAATTTTTTTTACAGAAGAAAAAACCATTAAAAAAATAGTATCCACAACAGGTGGGGGTTTTATAAAGTGGCATGAAGCCCCTTTGTTTTTGGCGCTAACACTTTAAAATTTTTACTGAAGGTGTATTTTAATACATCCTACCAAAATTTGTGAAAAAAGCAGTTTCGAAAAAAGCGTTGGTAAGGGCCTTTGTGAATTAAGATAACGATATATAGATATGTACATAGATGTCATTAATATTATTTGCTGCACTGATGCTAAACTCTAAAGGCCCGTTTACATAGAACTTTGGCGTTGCGTTGGCGTTGGCGTCGCTTCAACAGCTGACTATGAATACATGAATTCAAATGCAGCCGTCCACATAGCCAAAATTCGACAACGCTCACGCCAACACAAAGCAAAAAGATGGCCAACTCTCAACTTTTCGCGTGCGTCGCTCGTCAGCTGTTGCGAATAAATAAAATTATGTGAAATATTTTTCCTTTTTAATCAAGTGCGGGCAAGAAATATCGTTTTTAATGCAATTATTGATATGAAATATTAATTTATCTGTCGTTAATATGTTAATTTAGTGGCCCAAGGATTCGCCGCCAAGCGTTCATTGTAGCAAGCATACTTTTAACGTGCGTTCTGTCAAACCAACGCCAACGCCAACGCAACGCCAAAGTTGTATGTAAACGGGCCTTAATTGTCTAGATTGCCGTATTCGCCAAGTAACGGCCGCTTTAACTCCTATTGAAGAATTCCCAACTTATTGCGGGCAGGTTCGTGCTCGCCCTATCATTCAGGTTTCATTATTTCGAGGCTGTAGAATTTATTTTTTAGGTATGTTACGCGTAGATCTACCGTGCCCATTTTGTTTCACCTGGAATGCTTTAAATGAAAATTGTGGACAAAGTTGAGTAAGTCGAATTTTTAAACTCCTCATGCGTGGGGATTTAGAAACCAAGCACTAAAGAATGAAATACTAATTTTGACAATGTGCCGGAAATTTACTATGCGCATAAGCAAAATACCTACATGCATAATTAAGTACCCAGTGGGAATTAGGAGCACGTAATAATACCTTATTAGCAACTT